AGCAGCAGCCGCAGCTGCAGCAGCCACAGCTGCAGGCACAGGCTCAACAGCCGCAGCAGCCACAGCTGCAACGGCAGCCCCAGCCACAGCAGCTACAACTGCAACAGCTGCAACAGCAGCCACAACTGCAGCCACAGCCGCAGCAGCTACAGCCGCAGCAGCCACAGCCGCAGCAGCCACAGCCGCAGCAGCCACAGCCGCAGCAGCCACAGCCGCAGCAGCCACATCAGTTACAACAGCAGACGGCAGGGCCTCAGCAACAGCGCGAGCTGTTCCAGCCGCAAAGTAGAAACCCAACGCAGTATCTACCGCACCAACAGTCCCACCCAACAGCACGGCCTGGGACCTCTACTCCCTCTGACGAGGCACTTCGCGCTCCAAATGGTTATTTTGCTGCGGCTGCTGCTTCTGGTATTGGCAATCAGGTTGGTGCGTGGAGCGAACCCCAGAAGCAGCCCATGAAGTGCACGCTTGCTGCGGGAGATGCATCAGCAGGCGAGTTCACCTTTGCGCAGCAGCAGCCGCCAACACAGCAGCGGCAGCAGATGGAGGATCAGCATCGGGGGATGCCGTTGCAAACGCAGCAGCAGCAACAGGATCTTTTTTATTCAACCCGGCAGCCTCAGTCGGAAACCATGCAGCAGCCAATGCCTCCGTTTCCCGTGCAGGATACACAAGGACACAAACCCTTTCAACCCCATCAGCAGCAGTATCGGCCGCAGCAGCAGAATCATCAGCAGCAGCCCCCCCAGCAGCAGCCTCCACAGCAGCAACCCTTGCTCCCTCAGCAGCAATTTCAGCAGCAACAAACTCTGCAGCAAGAGCAGCAACGAGCGGTGGAGCCCGCTGCATCTCAGCAGCTGCAGCATATGGGGCCTCTGCCTGTCACGCAGGGTGGGGGCTCGTTGCAACAGCAGCAGCTGCAACAGTGGCAGCAGCAGCACTACAATGCGTCCCACAGGAGTGCCCCCCAGACGTTCCAGCAGGAACGGCGGGCGCCTTCTCTTATGGGGGTAGGCACAGGCTCGTTTCCTCCAAGCGCAGAGCCAAATGGAGTCAAAAGCTCTGCGGATAGAGGTGAACATGGGCAAAAGCGGCAGCAGCAGGAGCAACAGGACAATATTCCAGAAGACATGCCACCGCTGCAGCCACTTGCACGCCCCATCAACAACCGAATCGACCCAGCCCATATTCCTCGCCCTGAATGGAATGGTATGCCAAACGATGGAGATGCATGCTTAGTTGGTGCTGCTGCTGTTTATGCACAGGCTATGCCACCGTGGCTGTACTGCGCCTGGTGAGCTTGTGTCGTTTCGTTGTGTTGCTGCAGTGCGTAGCAATAATGCGTATCTGTTTCTGTCTCTGTTGTCGCGCCGGTATCCCCTCTCTCCGTTGCTCTGTGTACGGTGCCGGTTGCCCAGATGGCCCATGCGCTGCTTGGATACCTTTGGCTTTTTGTATCCGTTCTTTCAGAACAAATAATGAATGCATACGGCAAGAGAATAGAGACAGACAAGGCAGGAGCTTCTCCTCCTTCGCCTGCAGGATTTTACACGGCAGTTGACAAGGGATGCTGCAGCTGCAGGTTCATGCGTTCTACCATTAACCAGGTATAGATCAGGAGGCTGCTGCTTCTGCTGCTGCTGCTGTTTTTGGTCTTTCTTGCACTTGTTCGCATGACGCTTCTGAAGAATGGGGCTGCAATAGCCAAGGCAGCAGGGCTGCCTCTTGTAGTGAGGAGAACGTCCGTTATTGCTTGCTATGCTGCTGTTGTGAAGGTTCCGGCGTTTAGCCACAGTCTTGAACTCTCACGACTGCCGTTCGCCATCATCGTTGCCCCCTTTGCCGCACAGCCGCCCACTGAAGAGGCAGTACCTCTGGTGGACTTGCGACTCAGCAGGAGACAGGCGGAGCAGCCCTGTTCGTACGGTGACCCAGGAGCAACAGCAGCAACTGATCAGGACGCTGCAGATGCCAAGGCGAGGACGGACTTCTTTGGGGGTTATTTTGAGGTTGAAGAGTCAGATACAGAGGAGGAAGCCAGTACAGGGAGCAGCAACAGCAGCGGGAATGCAGCTTCTGCCGTTAGCAGCAGGAGCAGGAGCAGCTCTCGAGCAGTAGCCAACGGTGAGGGAATAGTTCGGTGCAGTACCTGCATGGCTTACCTAAGTCCGTTCATGTCATGGGCCAGCAATAGCACGCACTGCTTGTGTAACCTCTGTGGCTCCTCGTTTGAGCTACCCCCCTTCTATCTGACACTGTTGGATCGCTACCGCAGCGGCTTGCGCGCTTGCAGCAGCGGTATGGGGGCAGCGTCATCAGAAGGGGAGCGATACTTTAGACAGCGCAGACAGGAATTGTGGAAAGGGTCCGTCGATTTTGTGGCCCCTCGGGCCTTTGCTGACGCCTGCAAACTCACCCAGCTGCAGCACAAGAGGAGGGAACACTTGCTCAGGCTAATGCAGGTGCAGAACGAAGCCACCCGGCAGCACCAGCTGAGGCAGCAGCAACTGCACCAAGCAGAGCAGCCGGGCGTGCAGCAGCAATTCGGTGGAACCCGCCCGGAGGAGCCGTCGATGCAGCCGAGCAACTGGGGGAGAGCGCATGCTAGTGCTTCGGCTAGGACGGAGCCTGACAGCCAGAGTGGGGATTTCTTTTCTCGCAGTTGCAGCAGCATCAACAGCAGCAGCATGCGGCCTTGTATCGTCTTTGTAATTGATGCCACTTCTCCAAGTATCACTTCGGGTCTTTCACATGCTGTTGCTGCGGGACTGGAGCAAGTGCTTCGCGAGGTGTACCTGCAGGTGGATATCTGCCTGATTCTCGTCGCTGACAGACTATATTTCATTCCGAATATCAACAAGCCCGGACCACCGCAGCAGCAGCAGCAGGGTTTGCAGCTTTTGGTTGTCGACGACGTTTTGGATCCATTTGTGCCTGCTCCAATAGAGCATTGCTTCTTCCGACCACAGGACAGAGAAGCAGTACGGGACATCCACCCTGAAACTAGCCGCTTGTCACGCCGAGAAACGAGACAAAAGTAGAGCGGGGAATAGGGGTTATAGTGCTTTGTCTTTTTGGCAGTGCACCTGCGAACTGCAGTGCCTAGCCAGATAAACAGTCTGCAAAGCCATTACATGGTTCATGGTTCGTATGTATTGACACAGCTAACGCTGATTGGATGAATAGGCTGTGCGTCGTGTCCTTGTTTGTGCAGCTACTGTGGGCAGTGTCGCTGCTCCCTGCGGCTCTCAACAGCTGCGTCAACGTCTCGCATAGCTCAGCAGCGAATGCTGCTCTAAAGGTGATTCCGCGTACAAGGCACAACAGTGGCAGCTGAAGCATCGGCTGCCACTCCTCAGTGGCTGCTGCGGTTCTTGCTATTCAGAGAAGTAGCAAAGAAGACATATCATACCGTTGTTGCTGTTTTCGCTGGCAACGGCACCTACATGATAGCCAGCAGTATCTGCCAGCCATTCCTCTCTGCTGTAGTTTAATTGGCCGGCTCGAATTTCGAAGTACGGTGTTTCTCTGTTTCAGTGATCTTTTCGAAAGTGCAGTCTTACCCTCACTCTAGTTGCTCGTGTATGCAATGATTGGGCTTGCGCAGGTAGCGGTCGACTTGATAGCCGAGAGATCCGCGGGAGGGATGGTGGAGATGTTTTACTGTATCCTTCCAGACGTCGGTAGGGCATTTTCCAAGAAGTTTGAACCGTTATTAGGGCTGTAGGGTTGAGGTGCAGGCTTTGAGTAGGGTGATCGGCGTGTGAAGCTTTCTCCTGAGCGTCTATCCACATTTCGCAGGGATCGGAGCGCTAAAGCATTGCACTACGGCATCAGAAGGACCAACAAAAGCCACCGAGATCCACCAAGTAAGTCAGCACAGAAAACGTTGAGGGAGGAGCTAGGGGGCCTTAGTGCCAACGAAAGGAACCGCAGGGGAGCCGGGGGCCTGCAAGGAAAGTAGGCTTGAGGCGCAGGGACATAGCCAGCACTTTCCTCAGCAAATGCAGCGTTGGGTCTGGGAGAGACACACTCGAGAACAGGTATTGTGGTTCGTCTGTATTTCTTCCTGGTGCGTTTCAGCAAGATTTCTACAACTCCGTCATAACCCAATGCTTTGCATCGTGCTCATGCGTAGATGTCTACGCGTGCCCCCCGCCCAACCTAACCCTGGAGCTCCAGTCCTTAGGCTTTCCTGCTCAGCAAACCGGAGGAGACATCCGCTTCGTGCCAGAATTCTGCGGCTCAAGGTGACGGCCTGCTGAAGCACTGGAAGTCGATTCTGGGGTTGTTTTTTGTTATGCTGCCGTCGTATGGCTGTACGATTGAGGAGGTCTTAACGTCTGTTTGCTTTTCCTTCTGTTCCATCTGCAGAGACAAGGAATGGGTGGCCGCTGAGATAAGGCGAATTTTCACCTCTTGCTTCTACTTCGATGTTGAGTTCAAACTGCGCCTCTCGAAGGTCCGTCCTGTCTATCTTGCTGCAGCGTTTGCCATATCCACATCTCTCCTGCTCGCTGTAGAAATAAGGGATAGGTGACTCGCGGGGTTCTGCTGCATCTATTCTCACCTCATAAACGCTGCATCCTATAGCAACAAAGGGACCTCCTTTAGTACCGCTGCAGCCGCTGCTGACTCCAAATAGGCAATATTTATATGTTTACGTGTGGATAAAGGAGGCATACCTAACCGAAGGGCCGTGAACTTTTCCCTGCCAGCGAAAGCCTGGCTGCAGCCACTTAACCCAGAAATCTGAACATTTCAGAGTTCCGCGTTACTTCTGTTCCTGATTGCAGGGTTTGGCGGTGGATAGAATCTTGGTGTCCTTCTCGGGGGCCCGGTCGCTGGTGGACCAAAGCACTTTCCGACTGCCTCGCCTCAGCTCACAGTCTACTCTGCTGTTTCAGCTCAAGCATACCGAGCAGTCCGTATCTGCTCCCTCAGAACGTGTTTCTGAATCGTTTAACATTGCGGGGCTTTGTTGGTGCCAGGGGATGAAGACTCGGCACTAGGGTGTCGGGCAGAAAATTGCTGCGTAGTTCTTAAGGCATGCTTTTCGTTCTTGCGGGCGAAACAGGTTGGAGACGCAGAAGAACGTTTATGCCCAAAGTGTCTGCGCCTACACCCCGATGCACCCTTCTAAGAAAGTACCGAATCGGCGTCTGCTCAGAGTGCACTCGTTGTCGTTACCCATAACGTTTTCTCTCGCCTCTTTGTTCCGCTATGCAGAGGTGAGAGGCTTCTGGGTCAACATCTGCGCTGTATTTGGAAGAAGTGCACGTAAAGTCCGGTAGTACATCGTATTTGCCAAAAATTAGCGGTGTTGTAACGATGTTTGGGCCTCTTCGTATCTTCACTGCTTTCACTCTTGCGCATGGCAGGTGGACGCTACGGCTTTCCTAATGGCTAGGACTTCGGCTATAATGGAGCTTCATCAGGAACCGCAGTGGCGGGAAAAAGCCATCAAGAACCTCGTCGAGATACTTAGCGCCTATCGCATGAATGTACGCCACACCACACGGAGTGATGACGAATTTTTGCACTCGCCTCTCATTCCGCGATGCCTGCATCTTTTGCAACACCTGTTATTTTGTTTCTACATGTATCACTTCTTTTCAGTTGGCCTGTAGCCTCTAAATGCGTTGTAAGCTCCTTTGTAGTGAGCACTCTGTGCAGAGATGACTTGGCCCGCGGCTAAAGCTGCGTTAGGAATATTCGTTTGCGTCATTGTTGTTGGTTTCCTGTTGTTGCAACGCAGTGTGCAAGCGCATCCTCGGAGGGTCAGCTTATCCTGCCAGACTCTCTGAAGCTCCTCCCAGTTTACCTGCAGGCGTTATTTAAGCACGCTGTAAGACACCTCATTACTCTCGACGTTGATAAAGCCTTACCACTTGTTTCCATTTGACTAACACAGCGGGCACAGTGGCGGCAGTCGCCAGCTGTTAGTTTTTCACGTGTAGTCGCTACTCGTATATGGACACATATACAGCTACGGGCAATGCATGTACAAGCAGGAAAATGTATAAATACCTGAATCTCTACATAAAGTGCGAGGGCACGCGTTGATACTTACCTGTGCTCCGACTTTTTGCGTTCACAGGCTTTCCGCCAGTCGACAGTGGACCCACAGGTCCGCTTGTTCCAGTTGTTGCAGTTCCTGCGGATGTCAATTTCTGAGTTCTCAACTCATCTCTATCCCCGTCTTTGCCTCTTGCACAAGTCCTACTTGCAGCCGTCTGCGGGCAAAGAACGCAAGGCCCTTGATCGGGTAGCCAGAATATCGCTTAGTCATTGGAGCTTCTTAGTGGATAAGATGGTGTTTTGGCGGAGCCCTTAGCTCGCTAGAGCACTTTGTGCGGGTCACAGACTCGCATGCGCTTGTGTACAAAGGCTTGCCGTCGTTTGCACCGCGCTGCGGCCCTGTTGCGCAGGTAGGGGAGTACTCGGGCGTCGAAAATTTCGTGTGGATGCCGCCATCACTGCCAGCCAGTGGCACAAACATCCTAAGTGACGGAGTTTATCTGTGCGAAGCTGGATCGTATATGTTGCTATACATAGGCCAGCATGTCCGGAGAGAGTATATTATAGACGTAGGTTCACACTCTGCCCTCTGCTTACGCAGTTGAACGCGCTTTTCACGCAACTGGGCCATCTTTGCACACACCCTCTTCAGTGAAGAGAATGGCCCGCGCTTCACCAGTCTTTTGTGTAAAACGTTATTCTTACTGTTGGTGAGCCGACACTTGCTTCTGCATCCGCTATATGGGTTCATCTGGTGGCTTCTTTCGATTTGTCGATCGTCGTCTTGCAGCTTTTTGGATTCGACGCACAACTTGACGAGCGCTCAACGGCGGAACTTCACCTTCAGAATGTTGAAGGAACCGCGGGAGGTATGGCAACACGAAGTTTATATTCTGCTGCTCTCCTTAGCGTCTAAAATGTTTGTACAAATACATTTCAGTACAGTTTGTGAACCCATGTATGTAAGTGCACATGCTTAGCGTGGTGCCTAAAGACGTAACTTTTTTTTGCTTACTTCTTTTACAAGGTGCGGTACCTTTTATGGAAAAGTAAATGAACAGCAAAAGATAACTGGAGGCGAGCGCGTAGCTGAAGCAGAGGGCCTTATCTCGTATTGACTGATTTTTGTGATCCTTTTCAGAGAGAATCCTTCGTGTCGTTGAGCAAGTTCGCTTTGAAAAGTTTGACGCCCCTTACATCCCCTTGCGAATTGTCGCGCCAAAGTGAGTTATATTCAACACAATTGAGAGCCCTGTTAGAACTGGTCTCGTCCACGCTCAATGCTGCAAGGCGTCCCTAGGGCATAGGGAGGAAGAAGGGCAGTATAGTTTTTTGTGAATATGCGTCTTATGGACGCCCATTTCGTATTTGAGTTTTCGCCGAAATGTCGGGAAGTACTGTCGCCAAATGGTCCTTTGGAAGCAAACAAATTGTGGTCGTGGAAACTTTGCATCCTGCTGCAGGTCGTATGATGAAACGCGTTTGTTGACCCATCTCATTGAAGACCCACTGAGCGGAGATGGAAGCTACGTGGATTTCCTGTGCGACCTTCACAAGCGTGTTCACGCCAGGATGGAAGACAACTGAAATTGACAGACGCTCGTGAAACTATGTGCATGTGCAGATGTACTACGCTGTACAGAACACACATGCATATTTTTACGCATGTATGTGTATTTAAGGAACGAGACCTTTGAAGATGCATTGCAGCGTGCCCTTGCTGGGTTGTTGCCAAAAGTTGCGCAGAGGCGCATTTTTCTTGTAGGAAGGAAACCCTTAAATCCTCATCACTTCATTTTGGGTTGAAATGGCTCTTGTGAAGTGGCGGCGGGCCTCGCTGCGTCACTTTCAGCAAGACGTTTCTGCCGTGCTGTAGGAGGGATGAAGCTGACTGACAAGAAGGGCGAATGACGCCTGCGTTGCCCATGAAATTCTAGATGGACCCCGTAGGTGTAGTGCTATTCACTTGCATGGGGGTCTACTTTACCCCAAAAATATGTTCTTGGTTACAGCGTTACGTCTCTAGGCTGCACAGGAGATGCAACGTAGCATTGAAAGACCCCTGTGAATCAATGTATTGCCATCATCGCCTGCTCCTGGGCCTACAATCCCCGCAAGTGTCATGCCCGTCTTAAAGCACTGACACCACGGCGGCTTGCTTTAAAAACTTGATCTTGCTAGAAAGCTTTGAGGCACTTTGTTTTGTTGGGAAAAAATGGCAACGCGCAACTAAGTGCATTGTGTGTAAAGCATCGTGTTGCCTCTTTCGTTGTGGTGAGGCTTAGCAGTGCAGGGGCTTTTCGGTGATGCACACACGGGTTGGTAGAGTGTGCCCCAGTGACGCTGCCGCTGGCGGTGCTTCCCTCCCCTACTTGCCGTCCCAGCGACGAAAGTTACAGTAAATAGCCTGAATGCGAACAGAAGCAGAAGAAGTTGCTTTACGAGCTGCATGTTTGGTGTGTACTAGCAATATTGGGTGTGTTTTGCCTACAAAACGCAAGGCACGGCAGCCGCGTTACACGTGAAAAAACGGCATTCATGCATCGCTCGCTATACGGAAGCAATAAGCTATCGGTCCTTCGTATGCACAAAGTGATGGCAATCTCTAACCACAGGAGGTAAAGCAAACTGACGACCTGCTCTGAGTTGTACGCTGGCATGCAGAGACGTTCGTGCAGCACAGTTTTCTCACGGAAGAAACGGTTTAATTACCTCGAGAAGTTTCTGTAAGTACATCAAATCCGTCACACCACATATCTCCCTGCACGAATGCATTGCCCACTGGGGTATGCCGATGTCTACTGTGCGCACCCCTGCAGTCCACCAAACATTCAAAGCAAGCCGTATTCCCTGGTTTTCGCCCCACAACTAAAGCATTCTTATTGGATCAGAAGACAAATCAGTGCCATAATTCTTTGCTGGAGGCTATCCCCGTGCAGAGAGCAGCAGTGCTGGAAAGTGGCTTATAAACGTAGAGGAAATAACTGCTTCTCCCGCTAGCCTCCACCTCCCCTCTCACGCGGATAGCCAAATTACGAAATCACTAACGAGAACTACAGTAAAACAATCAAAAAACCTCCCAGACCATGCCTTACCTAAACGAGCACTCAGCATGGCCCCCACAGTTCCGCCGCATCTGCTGTCATTACGCACAACGAAATCTTGCAGGGGAATATCTGCTTCTTCTGCAATTACGCGAACGAAGGACATCGAGCACGCATTGGAGGCGTAGCTCTGGTTGGCATTTTCTTTTATGACGACACCCTGCAGCAGCCAATAGGTATAACTGCAGGCCTTGCAAAAGCATGACGGCACGATTCTAGGGAGGGGAAGCCATAGCAACAAATGCAAAAAACATGTTCCACTGCAAAGCCGCCGGGCGCAGCTCGTCATTCCAGTGAAGGCGACGAGGCCGCAAAACGAACAGGGAAGCCAAATACGCATAGGGAGTGAAAAGTGCAGGGAGGGAAATACGCAGCTCAAGCGACAAATTTACCAGAAACTTGCCTTGTGCATTGAGGGTTTGTGCTGCGACTGATGCTTATCGCTGTAGTTTGGATGTACGGCATGCGCCATGTCAGAGCTGACGATGAAAGACTTAGCGAGAATTTCGTAAAAGGCATCTTCGCAATCAAAGGCCCTTAGAGACCTCCGCATCCACGTCTGCCCACAGCCATTTCAGTCTCAAGCTACAAGACAACCCCTGATCTCAATGTTTTCACAGAGACGCTTATACGCTGGGCGCCGGTTTTTACTTCCACACTGAATGAAATAACTTGTCTGGTTTCACGGCAGCAGCCCGCACAACAACTGCTGCAGAGTCAGAATGACAGTCACCTCAAAAAAGAAGACAGCACAGTGGGGATTTGCTGGTTTCTACACTGGGTTTGCTAAGAGTAACCAGCAGCAGGCAACAAAGCGGTACGGCTACGGCGACCGCTGCAGTTTTCCACGAAACGCCCATAGAAATACAGCATTTCAGAGAGCACCAACGAATGCTACGCCAATCTGCTTGTTTACAGCCTCCACTAGTACGAAAAAGATATACGAGACAGCAGCGGGGACAAGAGGAGGTGCTACCTCGAGGATGTTAGAGTTGGCGCCCGAAAGCGACTCCGATCCGACTTCTTCGTGATCAAACGCCACAGCCACCAAAATGTCTGTCTCCCCGCATCCCTGAGCGCCCTCACTCTGGCATCTGCTCGCCTCTACTAGCGCCTCAAAGGCGGCAAAGGTCGAGGCCAAGTTGTCAAGCCGCGGGCTCTCGATAAACTCTGAGTGAATGCCCGAGAGACGGCTAGGCGTTGAGTCCATAAGACAAAAGTCCCAATCCAGCAGCTTTGCGCCAGGAAGCCCAATAGTTCTACGAGACAAAGCAAAGGAGCAGTCAGCAGGCATGTAGTTTGCTCCAGAGAAAAAAGGCCCCAACGGGACACGAGCAAGCTGCAGCAAGATAGTCTGTGCAAGGAGACGGTAACCGATGAGTGGCTAACAGAAGATGAACACGATAAACACGAACACTCTGATGCCATCGATAGCTTCACAGCGTAAATTCCCCTGAGGGGCCCCACGGACAGCATGCGCATAAAGGCCGCTCGTTCAACTGCTGCCCTCACTGAGTGACTAAGCGCTCTAGCGCAGGTGGCAAGCGCTGGTCCTCATCCTTATCTTTACTCTCACGCTTTTCGCCTTCGCTGCTCTGGCTCAGCTGCTCGGCTATGGCGGAACACAATATCGGTTGTAGGTGCTGCTCCTGCACAAGCGAACGGGTTTTCGACCGGTGGTTCCGTGGGAACCTTATTGTGTCATGCGCACTGTACAGTCGTACGAAAGAGAAGAGCATGCCATCAGCTTGAAAGAAAGGATTTGTACTGCAAACGCAGACTTATCATGCTGCCGTTGTTTATTGGCGCACGCACAGACCCCGCCTCTACGCCTTGTATAGGCCTCCGCCGAAAGACCTGAAACCGATGGGTTATCTGGCAATGTTAAGAGATCATCTTTTCTACCGAGGCGGCTCACATTTAGACTTCTTAATTAACAGCAGAAGCATTAATGCTGAGAGGGCCCTAGACCCATTCACGTCCACAAGTCAACAAGGGAACGGAGAAGGCGGGACGCTACCGCATTACCTTGTTGATTTTAAAGGCCCCAATTTCCTCAACTGTCTTCAGGTGTATAGCGAGGTTCGGCAAGTAAAATAGGGGTTTTGAGATGCGCATCAGCCTTTCTTCCACCTTCGTTCCTGCAAGACCACCAAATGCAAAATCTCGACGCAACTGTTAGATCGCCTGAGGGCACTCATGCCATTTTCGTCCAAAGTATTACAGATGCGTACGCGTCTCCACCGCTGCAGGATAATACATACCAATGCGAAGAGCAACCTTCCCGGCTATGCCAAGTCCCCTATCAAACCACGTGTGCCAGAGGCCCCCGCCGTAGCACTCCACGCTACCCTGCGTTTCGGTGGGCAAACACACCTCTTTGCTGCCTCTCACGATCTTCGACACAGGTGAGGGCTAAGCTCGCTCTGTATGGGAAAGGTGGCACTGGGAGAAGACATCCCAACCACAAGAATCCTCACCATATGATAGCCTTCCTTCTCCGCAAAGGCGCGAGGCCTCAGGCGCAAACACGGAGAGTCAGTGTGCGTTGCTGTTACGCAGAAGCCACCAGTACTGTCCTTTCCAAATTGTCTCCCTGAAACGAAACAAGGCACCTCTGGCATATTTCAAAGCCCAAGATTGAACCGGAGATCACCAATGTGGAGGGCAGCATGCTGAATGCTGCAGTCGCCGAAAGGTGTGCTCAGTTGTGGAAATGACGTAGGTTTGGCAGCACACTACAGAAGGAAAGACCCACCAACGACAAACGCGGCTATACATGAATCGTTTCTTGTAACAAAATATTTGCCTCCGCGTGCCATCTTCCAGCTGGTCCTGCGAATACAGACAATGGTCTGGCTAGCCCAAAGCGTACAGCACTCCCTGGAAATATACCTGACGCGTCATGAGTAGCTGCTGCTGCGCCTCCAGCGCTTTTACCTGCCCGTTGTACACGTATAGCAGCAGGATTTGACTCTATTTCGCTGCAGACAGCAGGAATGTTGGAACCTCACCGCTCGTTAAGTTCCTCGAAGCCTGCATTAGTAAGGATATCAATCACAGCCTGGACTGAGTGGTAGGGTGAGCCTGTCTTGTTTACGAAGTGTAGAAACCGCTCCGCGATCGGTCTCGCCAGTTCCAGAGCCATCCTACAGTCACAACGCATGGCGCAGCCGTCACGCAAACACGGCGCAGGCAAATGCGCCCTTCGAGAGAATAGCCGTAGCTGATTTTCAGATATCCGGGAGACAGCGCTGAAGCTCAGTATCTTTGTATGTTCATTGAGGAGGCTCCAAAGTCTGGTAAGCATGCGGAGACCCTAACAGCAATGGTGAATTTATTGGTTCGTCCATAGGCAGATTGGCATACTTGTCACTTTGATGAGAAGTTGGCGTTCCCATGAGTAACTGTTGCAACGAAAATACGGAGTTTCTTCTAAATGAGACGAACGTATGATCTGCCACTGTTCACAGTTGCCCCTAGCATACAGCAGGGCCCTGGATCCGAGCGGTTTGCAACGGGGCTCGGGCACGGACTGTCATGGCGCCGCTGGAGCCTCTGGACTTGTAGAAGAAGGATAAAAATTTATAAACATGAGACAAAGAAGTGACAGAAATAATTTGTGGCGAAGTGTAGCGAGCACCGTTTGGCGTGCTAGGCTAATTACTGCGATGAAGGATTCACCGCCGACTGCCACTGCTGTCGTGCAAATTTTTCGTTTAGACGCTTGTCAGGAGAGCCGAAACCTGATGCAGAGGCTGTTAATGACACAATTTATCGGGAGATACGGTATATCGTTATCTCGATGGAGGCGAAGGCAGGCTTCGACGGGCTGGTGGTGTAGGGGTATCACGTTCGCTTCGCATGCGAAAGGTCTCGGGTTCAATTCCCGACCAGTCCACTCCCTACCACTTTTGGAGAGTTGTTGCGTTTATGTCGTTGCAATGTAACGGTTAAGGGATGTTCCACCAATGTAACTGCAGTTGCATATTAAATTATGTGCCCTTCAGGTCTCGAGAATTCAGTTGCTGCGCACACTCTTATGGTTGAGGCAGCAAACTCGCAAGCGCCTTTACCCCCCGTTTGAGAGCTTGCGAGCTTGAGGTGTGAATAGTCAAGTAGACGAATTGGATTGCACTGAATGAGAAGACACGCCTATTCAATCAGCTAGGTTTGGGAGTTCCACCCGTACACGACTGAAAAAAATGCAATGCATGGAAGTGTTTAGCAAATACCTCCTGAGTCCGTGGTGCTCTTAGGCTCTCCTCATCAATACTGCAACAGGAAGCATCCATTTTAGGCCGCACGGTGCTCAGTGCCCCGGAGCTTTGGGACTTCTTGCGGTCTGGCCGTCACCGGGCAGAGAATGCTCGCCCGCCGTTAGTTTGAAGATCCAAACCTGCTCTAAGGGTGTAGGATATTTACTTCAAGGCCACAAGCCATGCCAATGTGGTATCCAAACCTAGAAACGACCATTTGATCAGGAAATAACCATGATGCTTTTGAATGTTCTCCCCTACTTCGCAGGATTGGGCAAAATCAGGACGAGAAGCAAACGCTTTAGAAGGGACAAACGCATTCAAAACACACACAGATATACCCCAACACCGCGAGATACCGAGCGGAGTCATAGTAAGGTAATGCCAAATGAATGGAAGGAAGACAATTGGTGAGTAATAACCATGGCACGAGGGCCATACTTTCCACGAGGGCAAGCTAACAGACAGCTTTTGACTTCGAAGGGGTTGATTGCTGTAACAGGGAGCCTCGTCTCTCACGTTACAATAGTTCCGCCAATAAGGTCGCAATAAGGGTTGATAGGATCCAGGCTGCAGATCGGGTGCGCGTTGTGGCGCTTTCCCCGATAAAACAGTGACTCATTTTCTTGGACTTCGTGATTTGTTGTCGTAGTACCAGCACTGATTTAAGCAGTGGCCAGCGGTACAGAACAAACCAAGTTACAGTCAACGTAGCACTATACTAGCATATTCATACATCAAGTAATGCGTAGTGTGCGCTGCAACTGGATTTGTGGTGAGAGTACATGAGACGAGCAGCTACAACATATTGTAAGCAAAGCGTTCTGCAGCCCGCTCTCTCCGTTCAGGTCACTTAGAGCTGCAGTTGAACGGTAGTCTATCAAGGAAGCGGCACTTAAGCAGCTCCACATAGTTGGAAGGATAGAGTAGCTGTAGTATTACTTACCCGAAGTTGGTGCATGAAGAGTTACTTCGCTTTGCTGGGCAATCTGCACGCTAGCATACTTGCAGGAGTTGTCTACAATGTCAAGGCAGACAGGAGAAAGTGGTGAGGCTGGGCTTGTATGCTAAGGTGTGCGGCATTATTTACAACCGTGTGAGTCGCAACTCATCTCAGCCGGCCCCCTTTCCTCCAGCCCCAAACCCACATTGTGCAGTGCCCAGAACGCCTGGGCTGGAAGGGAGATCAGCGGCAATTTCGGTATTCGTACTCTAAGCCTTTCAGCTATATTGAAGCCCAAGACGGTCTCCGGATAGATTCTATCACACATATAGTTCTGCCTATTCTCGTGTTCTGTCTGCCATCAACGAGTTGTAGACGCAGAGTGCGCAAACTACTGGACAAGTAGGTAGCACCTTCTCGTCATCAAATCCGTTTCTCATCCTGCGTCAAGCAGCACTAGTAATTACTGATCACCAATACAAAATTGGAAAAGCACTCGAGTTAACTCAAGGCAGATATGCATATAGGTCTGCCAGCTCTTTTAGCCCCACCTTTGCTCCGCTGCCTGATGGCTTTCTTTGATCCCCTGGGTGAGCTGTTTCAGGGCAAAAAACAAGAGTTCCTAAAAGCCTAATTGAAATCCTAATGCTGGGTAATATGAGGCGGCCTGACATCAGTTGCAACACACCTCTTGTGCTGCAATTCTATGATTTGCAACGGCAACTGGTGGTGCAAGGAACCTTAACGTGCAGGCACAACCAAATTCTCTTTTGCTGTCTGCAGTAGCTGTAAGCAATTTTTGTACTTGTGCCTGGTGCTGCAGGGAACCTTAACGTGCAGGCACAACCAAATTCTCTTTTGCACTCTGCAGTAGCTGTAGGCAATTTTCGTACTCGTGCTTTTGTGTAGACTGCCTCCTAAGGCCAAGGAACTGTTCATGTACTAACTTCTGATACACCCTGCAGAGACCTAACAGTCAGGACCTTGCGAACAGAGCAGAACCCCTACGGTAAAAGGAACGCTCTCCTTTCTCGGTCGCAGTAAGGAAACGTGCAAAGGCAAAATATGCACAAAAGCCAGAGAAAACATGCCGCCCCACTCGCGCTGTGAGGACCATAGAACGGGCCACCTTGTCCACCCGCTGCACGTTGGGACTTCTACGCCGTTTTTATGCATTTTACTGAGCAAGTCCAATCCTCAATTTCAAAAATGTTGCACATTGTTGAGTTATTATATTTGTGCTCGTCACTAGCGTTTGAAGTTGTAGAACGGGCTGTGCCTACACAATGGGAATGTGTTAGAATGTGCATATGCTATCCATTGTCAACACAGATGTACTTGCGCCCTCTTTAAATAAGTGAATGAAGGTAAACTAAATCCTTCACTGAATCGAAAACGTACTTCATTGGAGGATCTGAAACTCGTAAGACGCCTGGCAAACTTGGCTCTCGAGGCACGTTGCCGCTCGCAGCCCACGTCTCCGTCCAGCCCCAAACATTGCTCCAGCGCCTTCTTAGAACTAGGTACACAAAGTTTTCCGTGCACATATGCGGTTAAATTCGTTTTTGCCGTGAGTTTTCTTAATACATTTAAGTTTTTGCATTTCCCCGAGTTCCAGCCCATCGTGCTGCCCAGCATTACAGGGGCCCTCTGGGAGGGCCCCTTCAGCTTCCCATACAACCCATCGACGTGCACTAGTCAGGCTGTAAGAGTTGAATTTCTCTATTTGCTTTGTCCATTGTGCACCTTTGGGCACCTGGGCGAATTGAGGTGCCCGTGTCTGTCTGCCGCCCAATCGATTGTTTTCGTTGCTTGCCCGCCTGCAATGGAAAATGCAGAACGGCAAAAGGGCAGTGCTGGACCTCGGCACAGGCTCTGTTAAGGCTGGTTGGGCAGGGGAGGGCAAAGCTCGTTATGCTCTTCCCACATGCTCCGGGGCGGTACGCCGGCGCCCACAACTGTATTTGAGTGAGGAGTGCTACTGCTTGCAGGAGTACATCTGCTCCAGACCTAGTCAAGGGGGTCTCTGGGCAAATTTAGAGATGCTCCGCGACATATTAGACCTCACCTTCAGCAAAAAGTACCTAAGTGCCGACCCAAAGGAGCTCAGTGGCGTCGCGCTTACAGAGCCCCTCTTGACTCCAGCGTCTCTGCGGCACCACGTCAGCGAAATCTTATTTGAAGATTTGGGAGTTGAGCGGCTAGCGATTGTAGCAGCACAGGCTGTAGTCCCATACGCGTTCTGGGGCATGGGCTGGGGAGCGCAAGACATCTGCGCCCCTCCCAGGGCTAAACGCATGGGGGTCACCTGCTACAGCGGGCCCGAACGGCGCGCCCCCCTAGGGACTGTCGGCCCCCGAGGAAGTGCGAGTCTACCCGGATGTTGTGCAAAAGGGAAGGGCGGGGCTTCAGCTGGATTGGCATCTTCAACGGACCCGTGCTTCTCTCCCCAGCTGGCAGCGTCATCACCAGCAGCAGACCCCAGTCTAGTGGGTCAGGTGAGCCCTGGAAGAAACCCTTTCGGCTTAACTGTGGATGTGGGTTTCAGCGCCTCCCATGCGGTTCCGTTTGTGAACTACTCTGCTCTGGAGGCCTCAGCCCTGCGGTCGGAGATCGGCGGGGCCCACGCCAACGCCTACCTCAAGAACCTGCTGCTAACACGCGGCGTCAGCCTTGAAAAGAACGAGTTATTTGCTCAAAAGGTAAGGGGAGATGAGATGGAATTAGTCCTGCATTCCCAGTGCTTCTCTGGGGGAGGCCGTGAAGAACAGGGAAGACCATTGTGTAGGGCTTTCTGTATTGGTGTCAAACTTGTGCTGCTGTTTGCGTGCAGCTTAAAGAAGAGACCTGCTTCGTCACAGGGGATCTCATGCGAGTCCTTCGTCTTCTCCGTAACCTTCCGGGGAGCCGACGAGCGGCCTACTTGGGGGGGCCTCTGTTGGTGGAGAGGGAGACCCCGGACTATTCTCTTACGGTGAGCAGGCAAGCATAATTGAAACCTGTGGGGGCAGTCTCTGTAGATGATGCAGGGCGTAGTGAAAGGCTCAGACGACGAAGAGGCTAGCACATTGCAGAGGTCTACACCGCGCTTTGGGGGCGCTCTAAGGGTCTTTCTGTAGTTTGAGCGTGCTGCGCATCAGAAGTCGCAACTTGCTGCCTACTTCCATACCCACTCTCCAGCCCCCATTCCCGACCTCTCTTCCTTGGAAAAGTGTACAGATGCCGAAAAGCGCAAAAGCATTTGCAACAGCAGCAGCAAAGACAACGAGGAGAGAACTGCTGAGGCTCCCCTTGCATCGGAGAGCCACGAAGAACACCAGAAGATCCCAGAGGACCCTTGTTGGGCCCCGCCTGTGGCACCTACAAGGCCCACTGTGAAGCTATCGACGGAGAGACTTGTAGTGCCGGAAATATTGTTCAGGCCTCAAGGCAAGTAAACCTGTCCTTCACAGCCTCGTAGCCTTCCATTACATCCTTCCCTTCCAAGAGTTTTGCTGTTGTGAAGCCCTGCTGCAGCTTCTTGCCTTACGTACTGCCTGTGCCGTGGTAATTGAAGGCGTTGTTGCATAGTTGGTGCGCACAAGATCGCAGCCGAAAGGCCACCGTCCACTTATCGTTGAGTTGCGCGTACACCGATATTTTCGCCGTATCAATTGCGTGTGCTTATTTGTAGTTACGAAGGGCTGAGTAGTTATCTGCAGATGCTAGCATCAGCGCCATATCCGTGTCCAGAGGTCCTGACTAAGCATGTTCAATGGGTAGTTGGCATTGATTGGGGTGTACTCGCGTTGCAGAGACCCTCTTCGAGCCGTCCCCACTTACCAATCCTGAAATGAGTGCTCATGATGTGGGCATTATGTGCGACAATAGGGTTGGCATGTCTTAGGATAAAGCCTTCGCCCGTTTACTGTAGTTGAGTTGCGCCTGCGCCTGCTCTGCTGCAGATGGGGGCAGCACAGAGTGCGGAGTGGGGGAGCTCATCTACCGGGCTATTTGCAAGGCTCCAATTGAGGCCCAGCCCTTTCTGTCTTCTCAGATATTTCTCGTTGGTGGCAGCACCAAATTTAGAGGGTTTAAAGAAAGACTGTGGCAAGAATTGCGCGAAGCTCTGCCCGAGGTATCCAGTTGGCACATTCCCGAACTGCAGTGTTGCCTCGCTGCCTCGTTCTGCTTTTTCTCGTTCCTTCTGATTCTAGGCTCGTATTTCGTTGCTTTCGTCCACTCGCTGCTTCGTCCGTGGAGGAGTGCCTTGCTCCCCCACTTGCTCTGCACACTGTCGACTGCAGTGCATTTAAAACTTGAAAAGTGCATTTATCTGACGCTTTGTAAGTACTATGTGGTTCTTTTGTGGGCGGTAGATTGTGTATCCTCGCTTGCCGCTAGGTATTTGCACGGTCTGCAATATTTTGCCTGACTGCTGCAGCACTGGCCAATAAATATCTACCAGCACGAAGATCCTCAGCACAGTGCTTGGCTAGGAGCCAGCAACTGGGCCCATGATGACGGCGTGTACATGCAGTTTTCCGTGTCCAGGCAGCAGTTCTTCGAGACTGGATTCATCTAGGTTCAGCTCTTCGTCTGTTTCAACGTCCGTGCCCCACTGCCATTGTAGCCTCCAGTTGCTTTCAAAGACAGGGGGGCTACTTCACCGCGAGGCCCTAAGCCCTTCAAATTCTAGAAGCAAGCGAACTCATTTAAGTTCTGCTTTTTCAAAATTTGTCCTGTTCAAGGCGTTTCCTCAGCTCGCTATACACATTGGAACACAGGCTACGCTTTGGAGGCGGCTCCTTCCCCATCAGCTAACGCAGATTAATGCACATATAATATATATATATATATATATATGCAGAAATATATATATGTGTATATACAAACGCTTGGCACAGCCCTTCCAACCGGAAAGCAAAAATCCAGGAGGAATGTGCCATAGGCACTGCAGCCTATGCCGCCACCGCTGCACCACTAGCGCTGCCTACCTCTGCAGCTGCATTGCAGCGGAAGCTGCTGTTGCACCTGCTGTTGCCACTTCCACTGCGGGTTCCTGGCCGCCGCACAAGTTAACCCTGACTCCCTCGTCTTGTGCTCGCCTTCGTGTTTTGTTAGCGTGTTAGAACGCAATAGAAGTGTGGCCTGCTGTGTTAGGGGCTGTAAGAAGTGTAAATTGGGTACTCTGCCTCTGCCTGCTGGAGCCTCTCTTCGACGATCTGCTTTAGCTCGGCCTCGTACAGTTGTCCCAACCGCCGCAGCCATGTACCAAGGATGCCCACCTCTGGAGGACCCCCGGGCGGTCCATGTGGTCCCCAGGCTCCAAGTAAGGAACGTTCGTCCCCACCTAACTGCTTAAGGGTAAGCGGCCCTAAGGAACGGATTTCAAGGATCTGCTGCATTGAATATGTACATGCAGCCTCGCATTCCTGCATATCGCACTCCTGATGCTGCCCTCTGTGGGCATACAGTTGAAGCGCCGGAAGACCTCGCAGCTGCAGAGGTGGCTGCTGTTGTAGCATGAACCTCAGGGCCCTCTCGTTGTGGCGTAGCTGCTTCATGTTGCAGGCCATTCTCCGCTGTTTCGCAAGAGCCCTTCTGCCTCTAGCTATGATGAGGCTATTGGTGACCCTAATTACAAGTATGGGGTACTGCGGGAGATGAGGCTCTTCACCTTCGCCTATATGAGGCCCCGCAGTGGCCCTTGTAGCATCCTGCTGCAGGAGCTTGAGAGCAGATACGATGGCCTTAGATCGGGGATCCCACGATGTGCAGTAGAGGAGTCCACACACCTGGTTGCTGCCTCTGTTCCTCTGCTGGTTTTGTAGCTGCTGTTGGTACACCAGTTCCTCAGAGCTCCCAGGAGCGGTGGGGCCCCTTCCCCAGTCCACGAAAGTCAGTAGGGGAGCCTCACTGGACACACCTTGTGATACTCCTAAACCATTGGCAGCAGTTGCCGTGGGGACGGATGCGGGGTCTTTCCCGACAATAGGGTTAGAGGGGGCCAGGGATATAGGCCACGTACGTGGAGGTACAGTTCCAAGGAACCCCGCAGAAAGCCTGCGGGGGTGTCTGGCCCAGCATAAGCACCTGCTTGTCACTGAAGTGTAAACCCCTGCACATAGAAAAAGCAATAAGCGGTGCAAGAGCAGGAAGGGAGCCATAGCTTGGGGTCGATCGTAGGGGTGGCCCGTAGCGGCCCTGCAGTGCCGGTTCTGGGTCCGGACACTGCAATACCCTTGCAACGCGGCGAAAAGGTCACATACGACACCAGAAATTCATGTAAGTGTGCAACAGCGAGCCTGGTTATCTGAATATATTGCAAGTCATAGAGCTGCAGTGTTTGGGGCTGGATGTGCCCGTGTGCTGAGCACGTTCCCGAGCAACAAGACAACGTTACTTCAGCCTGTCAAGAGAATACCCCGGTCTCTTGAAATAATGTCAAGGTTATTCGTAATTTCAAATCAGTGTAGCCTTTTGACTTTATTTACACCTAGGCAAGCACTGCGCATGCGTTAAGCTTTGGCGTGTGGTCTGCTCTGGTCCTCTAGTGTAACTGGCGTGATTCATGAGGGTCGCGCGACGGAGATCATCGCTCCGAGTGTTCTTTTGTCATGTTTATTTCACGTAATAGGGTTTCCTTTCTCCTCTTGGCGTCCGTGAATGGCCGCTAGTGAGGAAACAGTTATTGGCCGGAAGTTCTTATTTGCTAGTCTCTGTACACTCGACATGCTGGCTCTCCCTCTTACTAAGCAAATAGCCTTTAAATGCTTTTTTTTCTGAATTTGTGCTGACTTGCTCTTGCCTACTTGGCGTTGCACCCAAGCCTCAACGGCCTGCAGTCTCCAGCATGCCCAGCGTTCCTTTCTACTCAATAGTGTAGAAAGCCATTGAGGGTATACGTATTCAGCGCGTTTCGCCTTTTTTCGTAAGTCTAGTCTCAAGAAACCATGAACTCTAGCTGTTTATAAGCACACACACTTTGTCCGGATTCAATTTAGCCCGAGCCAAACGAAGAATTGGATTATTGTTCTTTTCGCACAGTGCACGGCTTCGATGTAAAGGGCTTCCGATCTAGCAGAGGCGTGTAGTGAGCCCCAATAAGGTCAAAAACTTTAAAATAAGAGTGTCAAAGCAGCTTTACTTGCCTCCAATAGGCAGACACACCGGCTGAGGATTCCGGGGGTGGGCTGGAGAGGACGCGCCGTGCAATGCTTTGCAATGAATCTTACAGCAACGCCTGTTGAAAGGCAACCCAACATAAAAATGTGCAGAAGTCCCCTTTTTATACATGTACCAACATTGTAGGCAGACGTTTGCCATTGTCTTGGCCTTCCGCAGCTAGCCAACACACACGAAGAAATATAAGTCCCAAATTCAGGCAGGCTATGCTACTTCGGTCGGCCCTCTGTCTCGACAAACAGCGCGCGCCTTCCTGCGTCTTGCGTCTCATGGGATAAAAGAAAGGGGTTCTTGCCCCACCTGTTGCTGATGCAGCACGTGTGTTTTGGTGTCCCGTCGGTTCCTCCTGATACGTCTCGTGCTGCTGCATCTCATGCTGCTGCATCTCTTGCTCTGGGATTTTTTTGGTCCGGGCTGCAGTTGCTCGTACCTTCTCTCCTGTTGCTGGCCTAGCCGTCCTTGGTGGTGCCGCTGCAGCTAGACCTGCTGCTGTTGCCATTGCTATTGTAGTTATCAGCTGTTGTTCCCAAGCATGTTGCTGCTGACACTGCTCTTGTTTTTGCCAATCTTTTTGCTGCTGACACTTTTGCTGTCCTTGCGGCTTCCCGCGGTAATTCCTGGGTGAAGCACCTTACCATCGCCAATCTTTGGGGCGGGGCTGTGAGTGAAACATGTTGAATTGCACCTGTGGCACGATGGGATGCAGACGGCTTCAGTTGCAGCCCCGTGCCTCGAATATTGAATCTGCAGCTGACCCAGGATGAACTAATGCTGCTGCTGCTTCTTCTGCTGCTAGTGTTGCTGCTGCTGCGCTCATTGCTCATCTGCACTACGGTCCGTGTGTTGCTGCGTTGGCTGTTGCCTTGTGCCTGAGGTAGGAGCCATTTTTCAATGCGGGCGTCTCTACCTAGAGGAACATCGGCCGCGAGCCACTCCAAGGGAACCGTTTCAGTGCGCGCATGAAGCATGAGCCCGGCAAATAAAGGCGCATTACTGCGGGGGGCGTTTTAAGGTAATCAAGGGACCTGGCGACTCGCTGTTCTCCTGGATCAACTCCGTTATGGTCAGATAAACCAAGTTCGCGAACTTTTGCGGAAACTTCTGATCGAAGCGACACCTGAACGCTTGATCAGTGGAGTCAGCTCTTTCTCCGGAAATCGCCGTCCATACTGCTTAATCCGTTGCACGTTGTTGAGAGTAGCGAGAACTGCTGCCGCGTGAGTATCTAGCGGCGTTCAAGCCGTACCGCGAGAGCCGGCGAAGCCATCTAACTTTTCAATCGTTGTCTTGGAAACTCGTCGTCAGGTGTGTCAGGTGTCAGGGATTAGTGAACGGTTTGAACGCTGAAGTGCATTCAATATTAGTAATGTCGACACTCTACACCAGACCACCTCAAGCCCCCTCTCAGATACAAGGTGCAGAGCACCCCGTAGCTGCTGCAAGCGCTCCGGCACATTCCGCCCGAACGCAAACGCGCCGTCCATATAAAATTGACGTCCAGCCCTCATTGATTGGCTATAAGAAATTGTAACTGACCTGTTGCTGCAGTTAGGAATGTACATTTACTAGCCCGCATGGCACGCATGTACTCCAATTGGGAAGAGGGTAAGAAACGCAATCTTGTGCGCTTCGTCCGTATTGGGGAGTGCGAAACCGCTTCAGCGGAGCTGAAAAATGAATAGACTGGTAATTACTTAAGGAGTCAACGCACTGGTCAATCTGGGGCATCGGAAACTTTGCTTTACCGTGATTTTGCTGAGGGGAGTTAAGTTGACCCACATGCCACCTCCCGTCCTATTTTCTCACCATCAGAGCATTTTGTCCGCATGCGCTAGCTAACAGTTGAACTAGCTCATGTCTTGCGAACTAAACTGCCTTTTCCCCATTTCCTGTTGTGATCGTCTGTACCTTGGAGCAAGTGTTGGAACTGCTTGGGGAGTGAGTTCGATGTGATGCAGTGTGCACCCAGCTGGTGGTCGGCCCGCGTATTAGTCCTCATTAATTAGTACAACAGAGAACCCCTTTTTTCAATTGTGCCCATTTCCGGCGTTTTCCTGGTGTTTACTGGAGCAAATCCCCGCAAAACCCGCAGCCTTTGTAAGGCTATCAAGACGGAGTGCTTGCACTTCCCCGTCGTGTCTGCAGCGCCTATGCACTCCGTAGAAGCCCCCTCGATCCTTTCTCCATTGAGACCGCGCTCCTACTCGCCTTACCGTAAATGATGCGTATGCCGTTGGGGGCAATGATAGGGGCATTATCCCTGTGCTTCCTTCAATAATGGCGTCTGGGGGTCGCATGCACACTTTGCACCGGATCAGCCATGGAATGCTTAGGGTTGCCGTGCTCAACTGATCCAACACAGAATTCCCATATTGTGGTAATGTGGCATATATGCGGTTCGGGGTGACACTTACTGTGCATATTTTACCACTTCTCGTCTCCTGTTTACCACTGGTGAAGCGCGTTTCCAAAGATTGTGCTAATGACTAGCTGGGCAGGTTGCAGCTCATTGTCATTGCCTCAGCAGCCTGCGTCCAGTTGCGCTATCAACTCCTAAGCATTGATATAAAGTTGGATCAGAACAGGGCGGATTCGAGGCGAATATGCAAAGGAGATGCTCATCTGTTTCGGACCCATTACAACGCCACCCGCTACGTGGGTGCCAGCGGATCTCCCTGGCACTTTACTTGTTCCCATGGCGGCGCTGCTCGAAGTCCTGCTCCTCCTGTTCCTGAGGCCTTTTCATGCATCTGCAGTCTCAAGTTATGTGGTCTTGCTCGTTTCAAAACAGGCAGCGCCGTTCAGCCAATCCTCCATGATGTGTGACTACTGACACTTAAGTAAATGAAGTATTGACAAACTCCGTGCCAGCAGCCGGGCGTGTCGTCTGTTCTCGCTTCGGGTCCTTTTCCGGGAGAATCTGGCATTCACAGCTCCAGTATCCATAGAGTCTATGGACCTCTAGTCTATATCTATATCTTTGTCATCTGAAAACGCGTTCTCTTCGTTTTCATCAGTGGCCCCGACGTGCTAAGGAAAAGCGGTACCCTGTCCCAGGTACTGTCACCAGTGAGGTGCCTGACTCAATGAAGAATACGCCAGCAGCAACCATATCTTTATGGGTACATATACGAAAGCACTACTCCAGAGAGGCAAGGAACTATCTTATTGGGCCGGCGTCGCGCCGCTCGTTATATCTGGGTGGCCATCAAAGGCGAAGGTATTCTTCATGGCGAGGGCCCTGCAAATTAGCAGAGGGCAGTCATGAGCTGCAATAGAATCGAAGACTTCGGGTACGAGCTACGCCCCACACAGCTGATAACCTTCCCCCAGGTTTCGGGCATCCTGGGTCCAACGGCACAAAAATCTGGGGTTGTTGCTGGATGTAAGCGGCCTGCGTTAGTTGCAGTTCCACTTGCAGCGACTCTTGGTGCAAGGCCTCCCCATATATAAGCTTGTCCATGCTCCCTCGAGATGCACGCACCATCACCGCAGACAATTGTTAAACATTCCCCTGATCCTCAGTATCCAACCTGTCCCCAAGTACAAATACACGCACCTATATCAGACAGACCATCCTACACGTATCAACCTCCGCCAGACCATGCTACACGAACCAGCTTCACACAGAGAATTAGACCTACGGCAACTGCTGCTACTTGCCAGCCCCACGCGCAAGGCTATTTTCTATATATAAAGTAGAACAGCACTCTATCCAGTTGTTAAACATTTGGTTGGCTTCCAGTAGCCAACTTGAACAGAGATATCGATGCATCCACCAACCTCTACAAGACCTAATATGTAGTTGCTAGGTGAAGGGAGAATAGCCCACACTTTCGACACGAGAGGACATGTTTTTACGATCGAAGGTATTGTTTTTAAAGGGGGTTTTCATCCTAAGATTTCGCCTAATGTCTGCCAAAAACTGTCCCAGCACGTCACCTGCAGTCTCGGGGCGGAGCCGACGCCTGTCTGAAAGTGGGGAGCTCAGCAAGAAGGATGGAAGAAGGATATAAGCTCAAATAATAATTTTAAAGTTTGCATTAAGTATATAAATTAAGAAATAACTGCCGCGAGAAGCTACATCTAGTAGGTGGAGAGACGGAAGCGGAGAGGGCCTTGAGTCCCGCGCGCCCCCCACTGCAAGACCCCCAAAGAGGGGAAGGGCTGCTTCCTCCAAGGGACCCAACACAGCGGCTCCATCTTGAGTTTTAAAAGGTTCATCTTGTTCTTCCCTCTCCTTCCATGAGTTCCCTGGAGGTCTCGCAGAAAACTCTGGAGACCAGGGGGAAGCAACAGCAGGCGGCCGAGTGTGGTTCTGCATTGAGGGCCTGTGCCTGTCCGACAGAAGCGGGCGCAATCCTGGAGCCACTGATAGGCATTATTTCAAAATCCCTCTGGCGCACGTATATTCCCTGTCAAGGGTCCAAAAAGGCCCCTCCCCCAGAGCACCCTCCCCCGCGCACCCCCTAGGCTTGGGGCATGCGTATATGTACTTGTACGCGAGAAAGACACTTCCCAGCCTCCTTGGCCTGATTTTCCGTCTCTGCTGATGTCGGTAGCTGCCCGGTTCCCCAACGGAGAATGCGCTTTAGGTGAGGAAGCGTTTCTGGGCTCGGGGGGATGCCCGCTTGCTGGCCCAGCGACGGGTGCGCTGCCCCCGGGTATAGGGCCCAGCTCACTCACTTCTGCGACAGATATTGAAGGGGGATCCTTCGGAGTGAGCTGCCTGCCTCTGTTAAGTAAGCATTCAGAGCCAGCTGTGGGGCAGACGGCGGCGGAGAAGGCTGCCAGCGACCGCAGCTGCTCCACGACAACAGGAGCAGATGGGCCTCTTTCTGCAGATGCTTGCAACTCTGCCTCTTCTGATTCTGCTTTTCTATCGGCAGGTCAAGAGTGTGACTTGCCTCGTATGTCTCTAGCATTCACCACACCAAGTGGGGGCAGGCTTTCTCTCACAGATCCCCCACAGGAAGTTGGGGGGACCCTCTCTACAGTCCCTTACCAGGGTGACGAGGCACTCGAGGTGGCAGCCCTCACGGCGCAGCTGAAATGTCTTGATGTGCAGAATGCCTGTGAGCCGGCCACAAGCAAGGTGAAGACAGTAGGGGCAGAGGGGGTGCCTCTCCAGCTCTCTCCACAGCTCCCCGCGCCAGAGTTACACAGCCAAGCGGTGTCAGAAGGGGGGGCTGTGGAGGCAAAGTCCTGGGTTCCGGCCCAGGCTCAAGGAGGAGCCGGGGTGGGAGCTTCGCAGGTGTCCGGGGGCCCCCACACGCAGCAGGAGGGGCCCCGAAGTCGTCAAAGGTCGAACGCCTTCGCTCCAACCTGCGGAGGTGGGAAGGCTCGTGCGGGAGACACAGAAGACCAGGTGTACCGATTGGGCCTGTTGCTGCGCCAGCTGGGAAGGCTTGGGCGGGTGCGGTCGTGTTGGGAAATCTGGCAGGAGATGATGAATACGGAAGGCAAGCGCGACAGGGACTCACCGAAGTGTCTGTGGGGCATGGCATCGGCTGTATGCAGGCGTCTATATTTCTCTGTGTCGCATCGTTTGTCTCCGGTGTCTCTGTGGAGACGGTTACATGACTGGGGACTAGCAGCGCTGTTCGGTTGGGCCACAGTGTCGGATGTGGGGCGGCGTGTTGCCTCAGGCCTCAAGCCCAACGCCGTCTCCTACGGCTGCATCTTCGATGCGTTGGTGAGCAACGGAGCCATGGACTTGGCCTTGAAGCTCTTGGCTGACATGAAAGCTTCTAACCAGCCCGTCCGGCCTAACACCGTCATGTACTCCACCCTTATAAAGGGTTGTGCACAAACTAAGCAGGCGAGTTCACCAACCCTCTAATCCCCTGGATCTAACGGGGAGGCAGAGTCTTTAGATTTTTCTCGTGCCAATTATGTACTTCATGCAAACTTCACCGTGGCTAGTGCTAGGAAATGGACGCAAGAGCTGCGGCATGCGGCATACCAAGGAGGGGCAGGAGGTGGAAGTTGAAAATTTGTCATCCCCGCTGTTGTTTCTTCAGCTTGACCAAGCCCTGAGTCTGTTCGAAGAGATGGCTGCACAGGGGGTGGAGATTAACACGGTCACTTACAACTCTCTCCTAGATGTGTGTGCTCGTGTGGGGGCAATGGACCGTGCAGCTTCCCTGCTAGACGACATGCTCCAGAAAGGTGAGCCCGAGCAGCGACTTGGGAGTTTGACTACACTGCATGCGTGCCGGAATGAGACCATTTATCTAGAGAGCCAAGACGGGGGAGGGGAGGGAGCTGTTGTAGGCGCTGTGGGCTTGATGTAGCTGTAGTAGGGCTTATTAGTGACTACCGTTAGTTGTCGGTGTGGGACAGTCATTGCTGTCCACGTACTTTCATGGTAGTGTGGCTATTACGCGCGTGAGTGCGTGCATGCTTCCGTCGGCATATTTGAACTGGAAAGACTGCCTATATATAACTGCGGGAAGTTCGTTTTGCGGTTTTGCTCTTCGCAGGTGTGCAGCCTGATCTGATCACATTCAGCACCATCATAAAAGGCTACTGCGCCCACGGGCAGATGGACAAAGGCCTCCTCTTGCTCAAGGCAATGAAGCAGAAGAACATTAACCCCGACGGTGTTCTGTATAACTCTCTTCTGGATGGATGCGTGCGCTCTGGTGTACGTCACAGCTTCCCTGAGTACCCAAGACACTTCGGGCTGTTTCCTTGGCTTGCATTTTCTTTAGTTCACTCTCTGCAGTGGATATTGTATGCTGGATTTGCGGGCCTGGTCGCTGTGGACCTAGCTCTAGTGCCGACTATCTTCTTAGTAACGTTCTTCTCACTCTCAGACCGTCACTTGGGGTCTCTAGCTTGTGCATTTTTCTCCTGTTTGCAGCGGTCGTCCCTCTGTCTAGAACTTTGGCAAGAGATGCAGGCCCAGCGCATAAAGCCCTCGAACTTCACACTGAGCATTCTGATTAAATTGCACGGGCGTATGCGGCAGCTGCCTGTTGCCTTCGAGCTGGTCAAGCAACTCCCCAAGATGTACGACTTCAGAATCAATGCCCACGTGTACACTTGCCTCATGGCCGCGTGCATAGAAAACCGACAGGTTCGTCTTCCAGCTCTGATGCTGCTGAAGCCTGTGCAACTAAATAGTTCAACTTTACTTTGCACCAAAGGCAGCATTGCCCAGGATGTGCAAGCCCTCCCTCACTCATCAGTGTGCTAAAACGACTCTAAGCAGCATTGCAGGACAGTCTATGTAATCTGAGCGCCTGCCAACGGACTTCATGCATACGCATGAAGTGCGTGCTGACTGTTGGAGGTTGTCTGCCACCGTCTGCGGTGTCTGTTCAGTACAAGGCAGCGTATAACGTCTTGCAGATCATGCGCCGAGAAGGAGTGGCGGCTGATAGTAAAACTGTGAGCACCATTGTTTTTGGCTGTCTAAAGGGGCGGATGCACGCTCAGGCTGTGGAGGTCGTTTTGAACGTAAGTCTTTGCGCTTCCCAGTTGCACTTACGCGCAGTTTTCTGTTTAGCGCGTCTGTACGGACTTTGCGGATCGAGCGTAGCTGGGTGCAAGTTTTCACTTACCCACTGTTGACCTGCTTTGTTCCAAGCCACGCAACTGAGGTTGCTGGTACTTAGTGAACATCTGGGATTCGCGGTGTAGGGCGCTTAAGTGCATGAGCGTTACCGGTGCGTTCTTTCGCAGGCTTTGGAGAGTATGCGCGAGTCAAACTCGCGGGGTCCAGGCCGACATATTTCGCGGGGCCGTCCTTTGGGTGTTGGGACGGGCCGCAAACAGGACTTGCCGGCGATAGACGAGAAGACTGTGCGCTTGCTAGTGTATCACTTGAGGGAGCAGCACATGCATCGTGTAAGTCGTTCTAGAGCCAGCAGTTGGGTTTGCCTCTCCTCATTTGCTTACCTTGCTTGTCGGCTATCGCATGTCGAGGGGTATTCCACGCGCCCTGAGATGCTTGCGGATGGTTCTGCAGGAATGCACGTTGGTCTTGGAAGCAGCAGTGAGTGTGGGCCTCATGAGTCGTGCCACGGCACAGTCTCTGCTCACAGGTGAAGGGAGCTCCGGGCGCAGGCTTCCCTTTGCTGCCTCCACCGTCCCAACTGGGGCCTTCGCGCCGTCTCAACCCCTCAGCCGCCAGCCGCATCTCATAGCCAACGCGCCTCCAGCTGGCGCGCGGCTCATGGGAATTCGTGGGGGCGCGGAGCAAGGCAACATGCGATGGCATGAGCCTAGAGGGGCTCATCGCCACCCGGTAGCTGGACTCCATGGGGGGACTCCCCACCGCAGTGTCAACAGCGGGGCAAAGGAAGGGTACTCACTCCCCGCCGAGGGCCACCTTAACTTGAGCGCAGCTCAAGAGAATCCCATGATCTCCGCGGGCCAGCCTTGGTCCGTCGAGCGGTCGCCTCCTCAGCCGCCTCCTACAGCTACCGTGAGGAGGTCGCAGGCAATGAATTCACTGCCGCCCGGAGTTGAAGCCAAACAACGGGTTCTCTCGTTGCATCCGCAAGACCCTCTCCCTCTTCGCACCGCTGGACTGTTGGGGGATCTGGCGACGCAGCATCTGCCGCAGCTTCCGATCAACGGAGGCATTCTGACTGGAGGGAATACAGTGGATTTGGCCCCTCCGAGTGGCCGGTCGTTACATCTGGGGACTCCACCCTACATCGCTGAGGAGAGCGTCTCAACGCAAGGAGCAACGCTACACAGTAAGTGCGGATTACCCCCATGACGACCTCAGCTTGCTCAAGGCATTGTTCAGGGCACAAATTGGCAGCAAAAATAGCATTATTCAAAACAGGGAGACGTCGCTGCCTCTCTGTTGCTGGCGCTGCAGCTTCCGTCTCCGTGGATTTGTATGGACCCGGGATGGTCAGCGAGTCTAGCTGTATCTGGGGCGCTCCGGCACCCGGGACAACACCACAATCTGCAACGGGCTGCGGTCTCTTTGCAATGCCATCGGCCGTAGCCCCTCCTCCACAACGCACTGTGGATCTGCCCATTGATAGCAACGTCCTCCTCGGGGTAGGCTGGCTACAGGATCAGCTCTTTATTGCCACCAGAGACCTAGGCGGTTGTTCGTTGGATGGAAGGGAAAGATAGAGAGCCACGGAGAGGTTGCCATAATGCTATGATAAGCGCTCGCAAGCCTCCGCTGGGCAGCATGGGGAAATGTAGAAATGCGTCGCCCACAGAACGCCCACATGGAAGAACATGCATCTTGTTGTTTGCGTTCAGGCGGGAGGCTCATTTTTCAATGAAGAGAGTTGCCAGCTTCCCGGTCTGCCTCTCTCTTCAACTGCATACGCTTGTGAGGGCTCACTACAGTCCTCGTGCACAACGGCTCCTTTGTTTCAGTAGGCCTGACGTGCAAGTGGTGTAGTCTTGTTATCTTTACAATGTTCTAGGAAGCTGCATTTGCGGCCAACATTGCTAATTATTTCGGGCGTGACTAGCGGCTGCTCGCTGGACTTGCTTTCCAGCTGGTCTCGGCAGCAAGGAGAAAATACCTGGAGGGGATTAACCAACCTTTGTAGGAAGTGGTTCTCATTAGCCGTGTCCCCCTGACATACCAGTGGGCTGATTGAGGGGGCAGAGGGAAGCTTTTTGGTTATTGTTCCCCTGGCCCTTTGTCGCGCCGGCAGAAGAACCTCGGCAAGGCATACTGACCGCCCCATTTCCGGTCCAGCATACCTGCTTACCCCTCCATAGGCGTATCTATCCCACAAGTCCCTCCCGCGTGTTAGCTGCACCGTCTCTTCGTCTTCGTCGCTTCAGTCAAAGACAGCAGGCGGAGGTGTTTTTTGGTGCGCTTAGGATTTCGTTAGTTCAGGCCTCTGGGCCAGGTCACCATCAAAGGGATGGCGCCGGCCAGCGAAGACAAGCAAGAGGTGCCCCACCCCCGTAGGCCATCTGCAGTGTGAAGTTCATGCTGGAAGAGACCAGCCGGCCTGCACTTCCCCATAATCAAAAGACCTCGTATGCGATCATATCATTCCAACGCCTCGTATCTTGGCTGGTGCCCTGAGCGCGTTAGATGAGAGACACGTGAGACTCAGGGGGCCTGCTGCAGCTGCTGCCAACGCAGTCATTCCACACGAGAGCGAGCGTTCCACGGCAGTAGTGTTCTTGTTCGTCGGAAGGCGCTTTCAGCATCCACAGACAGACAATGAGCTGGTTTGACGTTTCGTGATTCCTACGCCGAGACCAACCGTTACGCTACTTACTTAGTAGCAATTGGCAGCGGAAGCTTGTGGTACTTATGTGCCACAACTAACATATTTGACAACGCTTCCCCTAACCAAGAGACAGTGTTTGACTTTAACCAAGACCTTCAGGAGTCTTGTAGCTGAGCAACCTAGAACAGTAGAACACTCCATTTGGAAGCCTCAGAGCGTACACGCTACCATCTCAAGCGCTGCATACATGAACAGAGTTAACTAACGAAAGAAAGAACTAATACCAAAAATTCCAGTGCTGGGCGGGTGCACCACTGCTAGGATGGTACTGTGTCCACTACGCTTTGCCCGCCTAGGAAGAGAGTCATCCCTTCATCCATTTGTCCAGCGTACAGGCACTAAGCAAACACCGTGTACAGCTAGACGTGACTGTATCTGTAGGAGTCGGTTACTGTGGGGTATGTGCAGACGAGGGTCCACTACCTCGGGCACCTTCCGCATACAAAATACGACACGCGAACGAAAGCTCGCCGCAGGCACCTACAGCGCATCAGCGTTGACTGGTGCAGCTCCAAGCTCGGACAACCCCCACCTCGTCATTAGATTCCCCAAAAGAAACCCGCTATTGTGCTGGTGATACCTCCGTCCGTCTCGCCGTCGTCACTCGAGGAACTGTCGCTCTGGTCATCCGCACCGTCCACAGTGGACAGTTTCAAGGGGGGAACTTCGTTTCCTTTGGGGGTTTCCTCAGCATGGTCCGAGCCGACAATTAACCCGAGAAGAGAGGGACGAGGCGCAGACGGTGATGCATCCTGTGCGTCGGAATGCCTTTTAGAAGCATCAGTAATTCCTTCCCTATTTCCAAACAACCCGAATCCCCATCCAGGCGTCGCATCGGCTGCTGCAACAGTCTCACCAGCATTTTCTTGGTTAATGCTCTCCACATCGGAGGGTTGGCCGGATCTCTCACTCGGCGCATCTCCTTTCCTTTTTTTCTTCTTTTTCTTCTTCGTGCCCTCCAAGTCCTCCTCCTTTGGCGACTTCTTCTGCTTATGTTCGCCGTCAACTTCCGCATTTGTCTTCTTGGGCTTTTTCTTCGAAACGGTCTGCGCTCCTGATGCTTCATTATGGGAAGGCTCTCCCTCTTCATCTACTTCTGCCGAACGTTCTTCGGGTTTGGGAAGCTGGTCCCCAGTAGGACCTGTCGTAACTTCCTGTGTCGGATTCAGATTGGCAGCTTGCTGCGCCTCCTCCCTCGCCGCGGAGGCCACTGCCGTGTCTGAGCGATCAGCCTTTGAGGCGGGTGCGGGCGGTGGAAGCCCTGGCATTCGTTTCGCTATACTGGAAGACCGCCTGACAGCTTTCGTAGATGAAGGCGTTGCGTCTGCAGAAGCCGGCGGCTTGGGTTTTTCTTTGGCAGGGGTTGGAGCCGGTCGACCGGCCTTCAGAGAATCCAGCTCGTTCTGCAGTGTCGCAAGCTCTTTCTTCAACGCGCTGTTGTCGCTGAGTGCTTGTTGCTTTTCCTTCTCCAAGGCTTCTAAACTGGCTTTTAAGGTCTTAATCTCCTCAGTCTTTTCCTTTATGACGTTGTCCTTCTCCAATGCCTCTTTCGTAACCTTCTCTAACTCTGCAGCCTTGGCCTGAAGCTCTTCTTCCCTCTTCGCCAACTCCGCAGCTACCGGAGACGCAGGGGTGGCAGCTGTCTTGAGCTCCAAAATCTCCGCTTTGTATTTATCTATTTGGACATCTTTCTGTCTGATTTGCTCCTTAAGTTCTGCAAGTGACTTGCGCTCTGCGTCCGAGTCTACCGAGTCTCCTCCACGGAAAGAGCCAGGGGGCGCTGCAATAACAGCCTTCGTTCTCAATGGCACACTGCCTTCTTTCTTCACCACCGCATCAGGCGACAGATGCTGAGAATCTGTTCCCTGAGATTCCTGAGATGTGGCCTGGTCCCCAGCCTCCCTGTCGCCACGTGGAGACCCTGCTGGTGACGTTCTCATTTGGGCCAATTTGTCACTGAGGGCTTCGTTCTCTGCTAGAGCCTTCTGTAGTCTTTGCTGCAACAGTTCTAGCCTCGCCCGCAGCTTCTGTTCCTCTGGAGTCTTCTCATCATGTGCTCCCCCACCCAGCCAGGACAGAATACCTGTGGATTCGGTTCCTTCACGCTGTTTAGGGGACCTTGTGGCGATCTCGAGCTCCTCCTTCGTATCTTCGTAAAGACGTTCAAGTCTCTCTAGCTTTTCTTTGGTGATTGTTTCTTCCTCTTCTAGCTTGGTGAGGCGCTCCTTCTGGGCTTTGTATGCCTGGTACACTTTGTCCCTCTGAGCCTTGAGCTTTTCATACTTCGCAGCCCAGTCGGCAGGAGGCCGGACATCCAGCAGGGCTGAAGAGCTCTGCGTTGTAAGGCCTGTTTTTGTTGTAGAGACACTTTCGGGGTCATCCGCTACTGTTGACGCAACTGCAGACACAGGGAGAGTTACAGCAGACGCCGACTTCAGCATGTCCGAGCCCTCTGATTTGTCCGCCCCAGTCATCGCTGACTTTCCTTTGGCTTCTTTCTCGTGTAGTTTGCTGATTGCCTCATGCTTAGCCTGCAGGGACTCTAGTCGGCTGCGAAGAGCATCGCGTTCCTTCTCCATTTCCACAAGGGCGTTGCACTTTATCACAAGGTTCCGCACTCGGCGTTTGGCCCGGTGTAACCGCTCCGTCAGCTCGGCCACACGTTCTTCTGCCGGAGAAGTGTCCATTTCAGAGTCCCCTTCTTCTGTTTCTGCGTCGGACTTGGACAAAACCTCCTCAGTCAGAAGGGTTGCCTTGCTCGGAGGGCCCTCTCCAGCTGCTTGCTTCTCTGGATGCAATACTGGCTTCGCCTCACCGTCAGTATCTTCTTTCGCTGCCTCCGCATCCGCAGAGGAAAGAGGAGTTTCACCTTTTCTCTCGCCATCCACTTCTGGTGTCTGTGCCTCCTTTGCTTTTGTGCCGGCTTCTTTAGGCGTCTTAGCGGGCAAAGGAGACTGTCCGGGCTCTAATTTCGGGGGTGACGTTTCAACCTCCCGACTTTGGGCTCCCCTAAGGGTTGACAACTCAGCTTCCAGCGCAGCCACGCGTTCCTTCAGAGAATTTCTTTCTGTGCGCAGAAGTTCTGACTCGTGCCGCTCCGAGTTTTCAACTTCGCCCGTCTCTGGTTTCACCTCAATCCCACCACCCTTTGCTTGCGCCTTCAAGGCCCTGAGCTCGCCCTGAAGCGACTCGAATTCCTTCTGGAGAGCCTCGTGAGTCTTTTTCAACTCTCCTGCAGCCGCTAGCTGCTCCCTTAAAGATGCTATTTCCTTTTCAAGATTGCCCTTCGCCTCTGCATTGAATCCAACTCCATCTCCGGTCGGAGCTTCCACTGGAGGAGCCTTCTTCGGTGGAGGAGGCACTTTGGTATCACTTTCCGCAAGCTTGGGAGGGGGAGGAGGCGCCTTGTTGGCTCTCTTCGGTAGCGTCTCACCATGTTTAATCGGTTGCTCAGCCTTCTTGCTTATGGAGGATTTCTTACCTGTGGAAGACAATGCTGTCTTTCCAACAGAAGGCTCCAGCTTCATTGGTGGCGGAAATTTGCCGCCAACAGGGGATGCCGTTGCTCCTGCTTCTGCTGCCGCTGCAGGCACAGGCGACAATACGCCTGCAGCTCTGCTGATCACTTCACCAATCTCCTCTGGTGATGTCTTTTCTCCCTGTTCACCAGCTGGCAATGCCACAGCTCCGGCTTTCGCAGAATCTACCTGCTCTTTCTTCAACAGCGGCGCCGTAGGCTTTTTAGATGGCAGCGCCCCCTCTGAACCCCTTTGGCCCGGGACCCCTTTTGCTGCCAGGGTGACAGTGCCGGGCTGCTCTATTGACGCAGCAAGGGCAGTCATCTCCTTCTCTAGGCCCCGAACCTTTTCCCTAAGTTCGTCGCGTTCTCGTAGCACAGCCTCTAGCTCACCGGCCGCCGGTAAGTGCCCCTTATCAACTGCCTGGGTCCCTACTGGCTCTTTTGGTTGCCCTCCCTTGCGTCCCAGTTCGCTAAGTTGCTCTTTCAGCTGTTCTGCCTCCCTTTGCAGGGCTTCATAAGCTGCCCGCAGTTCCTCACTGGCACGAAGCTGCTCCTGCAGACGCTTAATATCCTTCTCAAGCTCTTCCGCGGCTGCTGCTTTTCGTCTCATGACCCCCAGCTCGGCCTCCAGCTCTGCTGTGGGCTTCAGCTGCATCTTTTCTAGGATAGCCTTTTCAGGCTTCTCTACAGACTTGGCCCCTGCGGAAGGAGGCCCCGCTGGTTTCGTTGGGGCTCCTGCTGCGTCAAGCTTTGCCTGCAAGCTCTCGTTCTCCTTTTGTAGAGTTTCATATGCCTTCTTCAGCTCCTCCCTCGCCGCCAATTGCTCCCTCAAGTCAGCTACCTCCTTCTCCAGCATCTGCTTGGCCTCCTTAGAAAACACCTCTTCTGAAGGCACTGGGGCCTCCACAGGCGGCGCCTTCTTCGGCGGCGCCG